CAGTTTATTTTCCTTCTGCTAGATTGTTTCCTTTGCTTTGTTCACACACTTTAATTAAAGTGTTTGTTATTTTGTATTTCCATCAGTCTTTGTATTTTCTTGTCTATTCAGATCCATTTAGAGTTTACCTCTACAAGATTCCTGGGTCATCAGTTTGCAGTCTCTTCCTCTCTCAGATACTGTACCCTAATATCCTTCTCCATTACCCATTAAATTAGGCTCAGTTAGATGGCCTTAGTGGCTTATACCTCCTTAGTAAAAAGTATTTTTGTATCTGTACCTAAAATCATTCTAGGTTTAGAGCTCTCGTTCTATACAATCTGTTCAATACAAAGGAAAGTACCTATTTGTGTGATGTAAATCCTAATGGAGCCCTGATGATTATCTTGTAATGTAGATTTAAAAGTTTAAAGAAAAAGACTTTTAGACTTTACCATCTTTGAATAAAATTATTCTGGAAATATCTAAAAAGTCACTGTTTTCTTCTTTCAAATCCTTCCTCCAAATATCTGCAAAAAGATCTATTTATGTATTACCAGAGAAATCAGAAACTGCTTTCTTTCCACATATTTACATTTAACTGTTGTCTCACCTGTTGTTAACTTACAAGATTTATTAGGTGAGTGGGGTGGGCTGGGGGGAAGAGTTGCACAGGGCCTTCTCTGTGTTCTGTGACATTGTAACGTCTGACAAGTGTTTCTGGTTCATAACTACATTTAAATATTACAGTAGCATACATCCAAGTAATTTTCATTGCCAGATGCATTTATAGCCCACTGACTATACTGTAGGTCCCTTTTATACATGATCTGCTGAGAACATGAACCCAGCTAGAGGATTTATTCTCTCAAATTTTTGGCTTTCTGTTTTGCATCTCTTTCATCTATTTCACGTTCTGCTGGCAAAAGACAAAAACCATAACATGTAAAAAGATTGTACTTTTTGTCCCGTAAGGGCCCCGTAAATGTTTGTAACTGCAGAATTAAGATAAATAAATAAAAGTCCCAAACCTTGTAAACTTTCTGGTTTTTTATAGAGATGCTGAATAGACTAAAGTCAGATTCTTCCTCCCTCTCCTGTATGTTATATGGAAACTGGCTATGTGAAAGTAAATTAACATTTAATTTTTGCCAGAGGTGATATCTAAATAGAGGCAAAAATATTATACGCTTGATTTTTCACTTGAGCAATGATATAAGCTATTTTACCCCATTAATGACATGGACATACAGGTCTGTAACATAAATGCCAAATACAAGCACATGAAGTCACAAGACAGATCCATGGCTTACAGTGCCTTCCTATAGCCTACAGAATGACAGCAGTGCTAACTTCTGGGATGAAGTATATACACCTTCCTTTTCGTATGCTGTATTCACTGTGGTGGCATCATTTTCATTCCTTTAGTGAGAAGATGTTCTTTGTTAAGGCTCATTCCATAACTTTGATGGAAGAAGTCTGCAGGAGTAAAGAAGTATATATATTAAAACTAGATAACAAGAGGTTCAGAGTTTGTCATAACTTTTCCAGTAAGCTACCTTGGTATTACGGCCCCAACCTGTTATTTCCCATTAGTGCTCACCCAGACAAGAGAAAAAGTGATATTACTTGGAGTCAGGGGAAATTAATGTGTTACTTGCAACAGCACTGAAGTGCAATGCATTCTATAAAAGGTAGCTTTAATTAAAACCTTTATTTCTTTAGTATATATTAAACAAAAAGTCTACTTAAAAAGTACCCATTGTAGGAGGTAGCCTAACTTCAGCTGAACAGCTCTCTTTTTGAGAAGTAAGGCTTATTCAACACTTGTGTCAGAAATGTTTTAGTAAAGTTAAAGTGCTTTTACTTTTTTTTTCTTTCAATGACATAGAAATCCTAAGTTTAAGATTATTTTACTTTGACTCTTATAGATTAAACCTCACAAATCCTTACTGAGAAATCACTTCACTCAAAGTTCCTATTGGGCCATGTTGTGATCTTGCCCCTACTGCATTAGTAGTATTCAGTTTATTCCAAAGAGGAACTTCTTGTTGATGTACGTGGCATACATTATTTAAGGTTTTACTTGAGGAAGGCTACAGAAATATCACTGCATATTTTGAAATTTGTTATCTTATACTTTTATAGTAATGTTTAGGTGTCTCACTTTAATGAACAAAACAAAAAGTTCTTGCCTGCAAAATCCACAGCACAATTGGCTGATTTCACCAATTAAACCCCTCCTTCACCATTGGCAGGAGTTGGGATCTAACCTGAGATTTGTGGATGTACTAGTTTGCTCACTCCCTGCAAGCATTTGTTCATTTATTGCCATGCAGATAATACATCACATTTCACAGCACAGCAAGTTTAATCAGGAGATGTCATCATTAATTTGTACTGATATGCACTGATGGACAGGGTTTTCCAGGAGCATGAATAGATGTTTATCAAACAATCATCAATTCTGAAGAAGAAATGGTGCTATCCCCTTGTTGTTTTACAGCATCTGCTTTATCATCTGCTCACAGGAGCATTTTTTTTTTTTTTTTCTCTCCTTCTCTGGGTTTCCCTTTGTAGTTGTCACAGCTTCATTTATTTCTGCTGTTTTCTAATTCCTTTAGGATAAATGTCTTAACAGTGTACTTGATTTATTGAACCATGTTGTGGGACTGAAATAGTTAACAATGGCAAGATGAGACTAAATACTACAATCTGTATTTGATTTCTGGTGCTTTCCTGTTATTTACAAAGTGTTTCTTTGTGTATTATAAATAATTTACAATTCAAAGTGCTGGAAAGCCAAAGTCAAATTTATTTCATTTGCTAATGTTTCCACAGCGTAAAGCAAAGCATGAAAACTCTTGTAGCTCTATAGCTTAATAAAATGCCTGTTAGGTAAGCACAAAAAAATAGGAGAAAAAGAAAGGATTCTTATAATAGTAGGTTAAGTAGCATTGTTAGTTGTGCAGTCCTGCAGTCCCTGCTAAGGCAAAATTCTGAATTTAAGGACGCCAAGGTTAAATCTTTAACATGCAAAATTTGTTATCTTTCGAGTTCATTGCATCATTGCTTTGTGGAGTTGTGAAGAGGGAATAACTCTGAAAGATAATCTTGGAGAATAATTACAACTTTAATGAAATAGTAACCACAAATACAGGAAAAAAGGCCACGGAAATCAAAATTTTGTAACTGATATAACAGTAACTATGCATTATGCATATGCAGCTATGCTCATCCACTTTAAGCTCCTTGTGTTCCTGTTAGCTTCACTGGTTAGTCTATACTAGTCTAAAGGATCTGATAGAAGCAGTGAATAGTTGAACACTTTCAGTACTTTACAAAATAAGCACTAAAATGCATTTCTTTGTTTTTGAAGGAAAATGCTCCAAATCTTACTGCTATATAGCGAGGCAGAGAGGCAGGAAGAAAAAGAAAGAAGCTGTTAATCTTGGGGCAAGGGGAAAAGGGGAGCCTAAAAGATTTAGCCTAATATGTGCATAGGAATTATCCCATGTCAAGATAAGTGACCTTATCAGAAGACTTGCCAAAAGAGGTCAAGCTCCACTTCCAGCTTTTTGGTAAAAAGATGGATACCAGTTCTGTCCCATGCATGCACACCAAATTAATCACTTTAATGGATAGTAAAGTTCAGCTGAAATAAGATGTGAAATATATCTGTGTCTGATATATAATTTTTAAACTTATGTGTAACTTTTGTATTACAGTGTCAAATATTGACATAATCAAATACCTGCAGAATTTTTGCGGATAGATAAAGTGTAGTTAAAGATCTCTCTATATTAAGTTTATTCTAACAAAATAATCTTAGCACTGACACTGGGTAATCAGTCAGATGTATTTATTATCCATCAGTTATACACTGTCTTCTCATGCTGAATAATCACTTTTTACTTTACCCACAAAAGCTGATGTAAAGAATCAGTATGTTCATTGTTAAAATCAGTCTGCAACATTTAATGTAGCCTAACAGCTTCATGCAGCAGCATCAAGGAGGAAGGGGAAAAGAATCAATGCCCAGAAGGAATTTTAGGAAATAGATCATCAGATTGACATTTTGGCACTGGGGATAGCTCTCTAGCTGAGGTGAATAGGAGTAGTTGCCTCCGAGTCAGCAGTTATTTATTACCAGCTGAAAGACTAGCTCCAAAGCAGTGGTGCCCCGGCCCCGTGAGAGGACGTGTGCTACTCTTGGTGAATACAAATGGGATGAACCTTTTAAACAGACCAGAGTGGAGGGTTAGTGTGTGTGTGCCATTTGGCACACGGTCTGTTTTCTGAAGACTGAAAATTTGCAAATTTGGAGAAAGAATTAAACGAGAGTAGTAAGGAGGTTGGGGGTAGATAGGGACCAGATTATTTATTTTTTGTTTAAAAAAAAAAAAAAAAAAAAAACTTTACGAACAAGGTTGACTGGTAAGTCAACCCTTTAATCAATTGGGATAGAGCTAAAGGCACTTGCATGGTGAGAGATGGCCTCAAACCATTTCTACCTGGAAGGACCTCTACACTCATCCTCTGACTTCTAGCAGAAGTCTCTTAAGCAAGGCCAGATATACTGGTGGATGGTACCTTGCTCTTTCCAAGATGCATTTTAAATATAGTTTGGAGCAAGCCTAGAGTGTGTTCTTGGGAAGAAATTAGTAAATGAAGTGCTGTTATTTTAGGGAATAAAAGCCTCAGAGTGAATTGATGGGTCTCATGGGAGTATTCTAATGGGCACCAGAGGAGTGAGGAGGTTGTTCATATGCACCAAGATAAGCAAATCTTTGTACCAGGCCCCAGCCTCACCTCACAGACCCTCCTCTCCCTTGCCACCAGATGTGTCAACTAAGAGGTGTCTGAAGGGAGCAAAGAAACCACTACATTTATGCTGCAGCAGCTCAGCTGCTGATAAAATACCCTGGTAAATATAATAATGTTCTTAAATAGTTTATTTAATAGGAAAATTCAAAGTTTTCTAAAGTGTATTTGATACCATTGTCCTTTTAATGTTTTAGCTTAATAAAAGGAGTCCCAGTATGTGAAGTGGGGAGGTACTGCTTCTGAGAAACTTAGTTTCTTCAGGTTTGTGAGTACTTGTTTGTCAACGTTTTGCAAGGAATTTGCAGATTACCGAGCCTGGTTCTTTTTCTAGCTGACAGTATTCACCAAAAGAATAGTATTTATAGAAGCATAAGTATGGAGAGATATAGAAGTGTATTTCTGAACTGAAAACTTCTATAAATGAAGCAGTTGTAGATGTAACACCTAATTAAGAGGTGCAGTTTCAGTGAATAGAACTATGTGACTCATCTTTAAATCCATTTTTTCCTTCCTTTAAAATAATCTTTACTGTTCTGATTTTGCCTTCATAAATAAGAATGAAAATCTTTCATCTTAATAATAATAAAGTGAGAAAAAAAAAAAAGGAAAAAAAAAAAAGAGGGGAAAAAAAATGCTAAAGCTCCTTGAGCTACTTATCCATATTTTGAATTAAAGTTAGAAGTGCAGGGAACTTTAATGATATTATTATACTCCCCCCATCCCCCAACTCTCATCTCTTCTAACATTCAAATCCGCTATTTCTTCTAGATTGGGTTTGGCAGTCCCACACAATATGAAGGCGTGTGAGAGAGAGAATCAGTCTGCTAGCGTACTATATTGGACCCAATTTCTTACTCATCTCATGGCACTACAACTTCTTTATCTGCAGGCATGCCAACTGATAGAGCAAATGACAGATGAAGCAGTCACTTGCAACAGTTTGACTACATAATCTGGGATACTTTTTCCCCATTATTAAATGCCCTTTGTACTTGGGGGGGGGGGGGGAAGAAAAGGAGGGAAGGGGGAACGGGGAACCTTGTATAAACAGTCACATTTCCAAAGGCACCCAAGTGAGTTGGCATCCAAATCTCAAATTCCTTTATGCCATCGTGAGGGAGTTCCAAATATCTTTTTCTTCTCCTAGATGCACAGAAATTACTAGGGTGAAAGCTATCAGTAATTGAATTGTTAAAATGATGTTCTCAGTTTTTGACAGTATTTTGTCTAGTTTCACCATGAGAATTAGACTGCAGTGTGAGAAATACATACTATGTTTGAACAGGAAATGGGACTGTAGTTCAATCTTTTCTTGTCTTGAATTCTTTTGTACGTATTTGGTAGATTTCACCATTAACATTTTTAAGATTTTTGATCTTCTAAAAAAAATTGCTTACTGTGAAGCTTTCGTGTCTTTCATTTTCATTTTTATTACTAATGTAGATCATTTTAATGGAGTTTTAGTGAAATATTCAGGCATCTAAGAGTCACAAAATACTGTGATTCTTGAAGACCCGCAAAGGTCCATATCTGAATTTAGATTGGACTTCAACCAGTTGTGTTTAAAATATTTTTAAGAATGGGGATGGTGCTATGCCTCTAATTTGTATGATTGCCTTCATTAGGGAGATTTCTTCCTAGTATCTAATTGTAAATTCCCTACCTGCAAACTATGTACCTTGCTTCTTCCTTGCTCCATGGGCTCTCCTTTCAACCAAGCTGGCTTTCTATGCTTGACCTTTCACGCATTGCTATGAATGATTTTTGTACTTTGAGTTGACTGCTATTGTCAACTAATTCTTTTGGGCCATTTGTCTTTCATGGTCACCTCTCGAGATTTTTGACTATCAGATTCTTGAACGCAGTCTTCAGGAGAGTAGCCTTCGGTTTGATCACTTTTCTACTACTTGACTTCCTCTTGCCTCTCAGAATCTTAAAATCTACTGTTTGATTGACAGTTTTACCAAAGTTACCCTTAACTCCCACAGTTCTCCATTCTTTCTTACATATAAATAGCAGCTATCTCAAGTAGGCTTACTGTCCATGCATCTCCACAGCATGCAAAAAATTGTCCTTGATGTACTACATAAATTGTCTTGTTTCCCTATATTCAAACATGTTCCCTTTCCAACAGATATCACTGTGATTCAAATTCCACTTAAGAAATTGGGCCTGCAGTTATGAGGTTTCTTCAAGGTATTTCAAAAAAAACTTTATCCATTTCCACTTCTTGATCAAATGGTATGTCATCCATCTATTTCAGTTCACCAGCCGTGAAATCATTTTCTTTCATGTCCCCTCAAAGCATAATCTGTGACAATGTTACACCAGTTTTGAGTGTGCGTATAATCAATGACAATATGACATTATAGGAAACAGAATATGGCATTGCAGTGAGAGTTTTGCACCAGGTTAGGCTATTATCTCTAGTCTCCAAATTATACTAGGCAAATAAAACTTTTGTGGTTTGTAAGGTATGACTATTACGTCTTGAAAAATAATGTCCTGTCTTATGAAAATATAAATTATGTAGATATTCTTCTGATCTATTGGAATTCTTTCTTTATTCTCACAGTGCAATAAAATCGAAATACATCAGTTGGGTTTCAAAACTCAACAGCAGACCAAAATGTCATTTGTGTCTTGAAGAAACTAACATATTTTCATGCAGAAGTTCACAGGAGAATAACTGAATTTTGAAGAAACCAACAAATGGCAGCTTCAAAAATCTGTGTTAATATTCTTCTTATCCATTCTATTGCTCAACGCTTTCACCCTAGCAATTGCTGAACGTCTAGCAAAAACTAGTGGTCTCTTGGAGTAGCAAAAAGGTAGAGTTATTCAGTTATATTTCAAAGGCTGGCAGCAGTCTAAGGGCAAGAGTTGACTGCAATTCTTAACAAGTGTAAGCTTCACTTTTGAGCCTCTAAATAAACAGACATTATAGATGATATTTCCAATGGATTCTTGAACTCTGGAAGAAGTCCTGACATGGCAATATTCTTATCATTTGTCTGCACTGAGCGGAAAATTCTGCTGCTTTTTCAGAAAACTCCCTTTTGTTCAGGTTGTTTTCTCTCCTCAATATTTCAGGTAAAACATTAAATATATCTTCAGCCTGTTAAAATTGCTAATGGTAGTTTGGTAGATGATTTTAAAAGTGCATTTAAGTGTTTTAATGCTTTCATTGATAACAGTGGTCTAACTCCACACAAAGTTCAAAATGTTTTCAGGTATTCTGCTGTGATGTGGTTTCTCTTTCAGATAAATTTCATGACCCATTTCATTCAATTTTTTCTAAGTAATCAGAAGGTACTCAGCTACTATAGATAAAAATAGCAGTAATTCTTTCTTCCCCTTCAGTAGAGGAAATAGCTCAATTAGCTATTTTTATTTGCTTACTTGTATGAATGAGGGAGTAGTTGCTATCGATGCAGAAGTGAGATCCATTGAAGACAGTGAGTATAGTGAATTTCATCATCATCAAAAGGGCCACGAGGATGGTGAAGGGCCTGGAGCATCTCCCCTATGAAGAAAGGCTGAGTGAACTGGGTCTGTTCAGCCTTGAGAAAAGGAGACTGAGAGGGGACCTGATCCAGGTCTATAAATATCTAAGGTGTGGGGGGCAGAATGGCGAGGCCGGACTCTTTTCAGTGGTGAGTGGAGACAGGACAAGGGGAAACGGCTGGAAACTGGAGCATAGGAAGTTCCGCACAAACATGCGCAAGAACTTCTTTACAGTGAGGTGACGGAGCACTGGAACAGGCTGCCCAGGGAGGTGGTGGAGTCTCCTTCTCTGGAGATGTTCAAGACCTGCCTGGATGCCGACCTGTGCGACCTGCTGTAGGGAACCTGCTTTGGCAGGGGGGTTGGACTCGATGATCTCTGGAGGTCCCTTCCAACCCCTGCAATTCTGTGATTCTGTGATCAAAAGATGCTCCTCTATTAACCTCTCCAGAAGAATTTCAAAGTCCAGGGATTTATGGTTTGGTGAACTGTTACTAAATTTAATTTTATCTCTAATTACACAGTTTTAAAGAACTCTTTGATGGCTTTGTTTGGAAATAATTTTCCTCACATTTCAGTGGGTGGGGAGAACAAACTACCACTTTTTTTATCCTTTCATTTCCATGGATCAGGTGCAAAGGATGAATAGGGGCACATGTTGAACAGATGAGCAAAGGAGCTAGGTTCTGTTGAACAGATTAAATGGAGTTATTAGGTGTGGGTAGGAGAGATGGGTTAAATTCATCTAGCATCAATCAAATGAAGGAAAAAAAGTTAATCGTTAGGCTAATTTAATGTTCTTACCTAAATGCTATGTTTTCAACCTGCCTTTTCTAGCTCTTTGGAATTAATGACCTATCCCAACCTGATTAACTGGAATTCCTGCTGGATCAATCAGAAATACAGGAAATGTCAAGAAATGTCAGAGCATAAGAAAGGCTTTAATCTTGTGGAAGCTGATTCAACACTGATGGTAACAAAACTCGAAGAGAAACCCATCCTAAGATGCACAAGAATCTTTGGGAAGGATTTCTATGTTGATTTGAAGCCCATGTCATTAAAAATTAAGCAAATTACCAAAACAATAAGGCAGTGATCAGAGAGAAAAGTGAGGCTTAGATTTTGTAAGCGTAGGGACAAGCTATTCCATTCTTCTTGTCCTTACTTCAATAGCTGCTTGTCTGGCATACTGTCTGGAACCCTTTAATTCAAAAACATCTGGCAATAAAACTTAGAAATTACCTTTCGTGTTCTCATCACTTTCAGTCTGTCAGTCTTTGAGCACTCTGTTTCCTTGTCTTTCCAAGAATAAATCTGAGGCTTTTTGAAATTTTTTGCAAAAGTTTATGGAATTGGATTTCACTTCTGTGTAACAACACAGATATTTAATCACTGCAAATGAATTCCAGGTGTTGTAGTTTTCACTGCTCAAGCTAAGAATTTTGCACTGAAATAAGTGCATGTCAGTGACTGGTTAGTATATTGTTTCTGTTCTTATGTGATTTTATTTCATTAAAGATGTCTGTTTTCTTCATACTAAACTATCTTAATTGTTTACAGATTGGGTAAAATGAGATGTGCTTTGTCCTTCTTTGAAAAATTGTAGGGATAGATCAAGGGTTAATGGTTTTAAACTGAAGGAGTATAGGTTTAGACTAGATATTAAGAGATTTTTTTTATTCAGAGAGTAATGAGGCACTGGAAGCATGTTGCCCAGAGAAGCTATGGATGGCTCATCCCTGGAATCATTCAAGGTCAGACTGGATGGGGCCCTGGGCAGAATGGTCTAGGATTTGGTAGCCCTGCCCATGGCAGAAGAATTGGAACTAGATGATCTTTAAGGTCCCATTCAACTTAAGCCATTCTATAATTTAATTTCATCAACATATGAAGACTTACAGTTTCAAATAAGTCAAAATAGTCTGAGAACATAAATCTGTAAAAAGTGCATTTTGAACTTAAAAAATCATCTTACCTAATATTCTCAGGCTTTAATAATGTCTGAAATTTCTTAAATTTCACACTACTTTAAAACGATAGTACTACATTGTTGTTATCTAAACAAGCAGGCAGCCATTTGTTCACTTCCCCACGCAGTGGATGGGAGGAGAAATTGCTGGGGAGAGGAAAGGAATAGAGCCAGTGTGTTTAGGTAAAGACAGAAAATGAAGAGAGTTAAAAAAAAAAAAAAAAAAAAAAAAAAGTTTGTACAAATACATAGTTATGTATCTGTATATATATTTATATAGTCTTACTACCTGCCAGCTGACTCCCAGTAATACCCAGCTTACCCAGCTAATCTCTGAGCAGCAGCTACCTCCCTTAGCCAACAATCC